AGGAAGGGACCTAAAACATCAGGTACCCCAGGACTTCTTGTGGAGCACAGGGTAGGATTTTGGAGGGAGGGCTCCTCCTCAGATCCCCCTGGAAGAACTGCTCACTGAATCCTACTCTTTTTTTTGAGACAGGGTCTTGCTATGCAGTTCAAGCTGGCCTTGAGCTCACTTTGTAGCCCTGGCTGGTCTTGAACTCGCAACAATCCTCCTGTCTCAGCCTCCTGACTGCTGGGATTACAAGTGTGTGCCACCACACCTGGCTCTGAATCCTACTCTTGTTTGTTTGTTTTTTTTGGTTTTTCGTTTTTCTCCGGTACCAGGAACCGAACTCACGACCTTGCGCTTGCCAGGCAGGCGCTTTGCTGCTGAGCTAAATCCCCAGCCCTGAATCCTACTCTTGAGGAGTCCCACCTGCACCATCCTACCAAAGCCCCAAAGGTTTCTCATTTAGCCTTGAGGCGCCCACCATTGACAAATGTGTTTGACCCTGAATTTCCTCGACCCCTTTACATGTTCACAGAGCATTTGTTAGCACTAGAGCTGCAGAATACAGATCAGGACAGTTTAGTGACTTGTCCAGTGAATGTCACACAGCTTATTGGCGCCAGGGATGGTATTAGATTTCATGAATCCTATGCAGATGTTTTTAAAGTAAGTCCAACAGCAACCAGATTTGGAGATTTTGAACTCAGGTCCCTGGCTACAAGTCTTCTGTGAACTTTTAGTCTGTTACATCCTCGAGTCCCATGACTCCACGCTGGTGGGGGGTTTTGAGCTTTGGTATTAACACTTTTTGGTGTCTGGAATTTCTACTGCACAGGGCCCCCACCGTTTCTAAGTTCCCCTGTGACACGGAGGGCGACAGAGGGGAGCTGATACTGATGCAGATGACCAGCCCTCCTTAATTAGTATTTCTCCTCCTCTGACTGCCACCACTTACTGAAACTGACTGCTCAGGGAACAGAAGCAAATTTGGGAAGAACGTGGCCCATCACAGCTGAACCTAGGATGAGAACACTTGTAGCGCACTTAGCCTGTGCCATGAGCTGCTCTAGATACTTCACATACATTAATGCATTTCATTATGACAGCACCCCATGAGCTCGGCACTACCAGCAACCCCGTCTTACAGGAGTGACAGGGAGGTACTGACGTGTAACTTAGTGCAAAGTCACACGGCTGGTATTGCAGAACTGGGGTGTGAACTCAGCCTGACTTTAGCGTTCCCATTTGTAATGACTCTGAACCACCACATTATAGGAGTAGTAGAAATAACAAAGACAAAGCTCAACCTCTAAAGCCCTTAACCAGTGTGACCAAGCCACTCCACTTAGTACCCCAACAACCCTACGAAGTCATCTCTCTTGCTAAAAGGCCAGTGTCACCGGTGAGGAAACTGAGGCACTGAGGAGCCCCCAGTGTGTGGACTGGTCCCCTTGTCAGGCTTTGTGTGTGGGGACCACAGCCCAGGTCTAGAGCTCTTCGCACCTCTGGTACCAGTGGTTCTGATTATACATTCTAGAGATGTTTTTTCTTTTTAATCTTGTGGTGCTTTCTGTGAATAGCAGTGTTTTATCAGGGGAAGCCAAAAAGAAACAAAAAAAACCAAACCCATAAGAAACACATTTTAGCTATAAAAACCTTGGTGTGAACTTGAAAAAAAAAACAAACAAAAAAACCCCAAAACCAAAAACAACCACAGAAAGGCTGAACTCGTGCTGTGGACTTTGTCTTTTCTGTGCTCTGCATGTTGGGTGGAAGGGCAGGGTGATCCAAGTCTGTATAGATCTCAAAACAGGGCCTCAGAGGGCAATGCATCTGCAGAAGGTTCTGGAAGCTTGTGAGATTAGCTAGCAAGCCTAAGGGAGGTGTCCAGTTTATCTCATTCTGGCCACTTTGTGGCAGTACCTCAATCAACCCATTTGTAAAATAAAGGGGTAGGTTCCATTTATGTTCTTTTAGCATGTATGGAATAATGATTTTAATTATTAGAGAGGAAAAGGATTCACCCCAGCTTCTGACTGGGGACTAGGAAGTCTTCATCCTCAGCCTAGCTCAGCCTGGGTCAGGCTCTTCCTCTTCCTCTTCCTTCTCTACAAAGCTAGGTCCCACCAACATCTTCCCTCCGAGACGCTTGGAGTTGTTCGAGAGTTTATTTCTCCTCTGGAACAACTCAGAGGGGAAAAAAAAAAGCTAATAGAAAGCACATGGGCATGGTGTGTGAGCGCCTGTGTTTGTGTTTGAAAAGGAGGAGTAGGTTAGGCTTGCAAAATGCCTGGCCTGTCTCAAGAGCAGTTCACGGCCATTAACATCAGGCAGTTAATGGGACAAAGCCCAGCTGCCGCTGAGCTTTCTTGCATTCGGGCCTTGAGAACAATGAGGAAATAATGTGGAAATAGAGCACGAGGGGTTTCTGATTTGTGAGAGGCTGGTGGGGGCTGGGGTGGAGGTGGGGTCCTACATCAGGGTCACTCCTGAGAATCACCCTCTAGCTGGATCTACGGGAGTGTGGAAGGGCAGGGCGGGGTGAGGGCTCCCAGCCTGGGCTCTGGAGGGCCACTGCCTGGCTTCCATCCCATGCCGCTGCCAAGGCCGTGTGACCTGGGACAAGTTCCTCGCCCTGTAAGACAAGGGTGACAACAGGACCTGGCACAGGGCTTAGGCCAGCACCTGGAGTCCAGAAGCACCCCGGAAATGTCGGCACTCAGAGGAGGAGACACAGGGCCTGGGGTTCTGCAAACGGGAGTGTGAATCCCAGTCCTGAATATTTACTGACTCTGAGATCCTGGGCAAATCAGTTGTGTTCTCTGAGCCCCGCTTTCACTCGCTGGAAAGCTGGGTTAGTGGTGCTTACCTCACACGGTTGCTGAAAGGACTGGAGAAGAAATCACACTACCATGCATATCCGGGTCTCAGGAGGGCTCCTCCTTCACTTTCCAACTGCATCTCCCCTCACTCACTACACTCCACACTCAAGAGTCCTTGTTCTGCTTCTGTTCCTACCCCAGGGCCTCTGCTGCTGCGGTTCTCTCTCCTGCACTGCAGGCTCCAGCTCCTCACGTGGCTGCCTCCTCTTCACTACTCAGATCCCTTCCCCCCTGGGTGATGCTGACCCCACGCCTCCTCTGATCTTCATGACCCATCAGGATTCCTTGATTTTGTTCCTCACTGGCTTTTTCAAAATCTGTCATTACCTATGTATTTGTTAATTGATTATTATCTCCTTCTCTCCTTGAGGGAACTGGCTCTGCTGACTGTTATGCGCCTGCTGCCTAAAAGGGTACCAGGCACAAAGCTGGTGCTTGCTAAGGCAAGATGAATGAGGGAGTGGAGGAAGGGAGCCGGCCACGCCTGCACCACCGCAGTCATTTAATACACAGCCGGGAGGAGTTGGGGTGGGGGAGGGCGCAATTGTTCCACCTCTGCAGCGGTGGGAGCCCGGAGGCAGCACGTGGAGTTTCTATTGGAAGAGCTGAAAGAACTGGCTTGAGCCTGGGCCAAAGGCAAGTCTAGGTCTTTACTGTTGGGACTGGCACCACCATTTACTCCATCCCTAAAGATGTGCCAGTGCAGCTTTCACCTTCCAGTAGGACTCAGAGACACTGAGGTGACAGGAAGCGTAAGAGGCTGGAAATATCACGATCAAGACATGGGCTTTGGGGTGAGGCGGGGGGGTCGGGATTCCACCACACTCCCGAGAGACCTGACCCAGGCCCCTGGGACAGAAGCTAAACTTGTCCCGACACTGGGCAAATCAGTCATTTTCCCCACGCCTTGGTTTGCTCTTCTGTGAAATACAAATAACAACAGTGCCAGCGGGCAGACTGTACAAGAGGACCAGAGACACACCCTGGCGCTTGTGAGCAGTAGGACGGGGTTAGCCAAGACGTCCCCTGGAAACCCTGGCACGGGCTTGTTCAGGACGTTCTCCCAAGAGCTGGTGTGCATGAGCATCACCCTTTCTCTACACCCCCAGCGTCATCTGTCCTTAGTCAAAGATTAAGTAGGAATGAATGACAGCACTTTCCAGTCATTTCTTCCAAGAAAACTGCAGTCACCCATGAGCCCGCCGCCTTGTTATTACCTTTTCATTCTTGCATTTTACTTTTCAGACCCTTGATGGCCATTTCTCTCAATTTGCATGGAGGGGAAAATACCTCAAGCTACTGCCACCAGCCCTTTGATCCGTGTATTTACTCCAAAGGCTCCCGAGGGGATTGGAGCCGAGAAGGGCCCACTGGCTGATGAAATTTGGGAAGCAGGCGCAGGGGAACACGGCGAGCCAGTTCCTTAGCACAGCCGGGGCAGGGGCTGCATGCTGGAATCCTTTCCTCCCTTTCTCAGGATGCCCTTCCAGGGTACCTGGAATATACTCTTTCCCTACATGCCCGTTACCCACTCCATGGCACTCCTCTGCGTCTCTTCAGCGGCCTTGCTTGTGCCATCACACTTAAGACAGAAGCCGAAACCTAACCCTCACCCTAACCCTCCAGCAGCCGTCTCTCTCTGGGTCTGCCCCTCCGCGGTGCCCTCTCACAGGTACATCGCAGCCTTTCTCACCGTGCAGCTTTGGCACTGGTGGCTCCCCCTGCCTGGAACGCTCTTCCTCAGGTCTGAGCCTGGCTGGCTCCGCCTCACCCTGTGGGTCTCTTCAAAGAACCTTCCCTGCTGCCTCAATCTGAAGTTACACACCCCACGTCTGAACAGCTCATCACTCTCAACCCAAATGCCATCTTTAGCTGCTTCATTAGACTCACCTCCTTCCAAAATCACCCTGTTCATCTGTTGACTCTTACCATCAATCTCTCCCTGCTGTCACTGGAACCGCCATGAGGGTAGGTCGCCTGTATATTTTATCTACTATTGTAACTCCACTGTGTGAGACAGAGCCCGGCACATAGTAGGTGCTCAGAAAATCGGCTAAGCCAGTGAATCAGTGAACACGACATCCAATTCAGGAGGTGCCTTAGAGCTGGGCAGGGCCGCAGCACCAAACTGACCGTGCATCTGGTAGGTGTACGGGCTCTGTCCAGTGGGCGAGGTGCTGAAGCTCGAGCCGTAGCTGAGGAATCCGCTCTGGCTGGGGGAATGGTTCAAGCTGTCTTCCGTCTTGATGCCTTGGAAAGAGGAAAAAGAAGCACCAATAAAACATCATTAGGATGCTTCCGCGTCACCCCCTGAAGAGCTCCTGAGTCACGACAGGGCATGAGGTTAGCAGCTTCCAAACCAGGAAATGCTTGAGAGCGGAAGTTAGTCTACAGACGTCCTTTGCTTACCCTGCACCTTTATTTGAAAGGAAAATCTGAATTAGTTGCTTTTTAAAAAAAAAATGTTAAGATTTCACTAAAAGTTATGGACTTACAGCTTTTCTTGACAACGGGATAGTCCAGAAACACCACGTTTGTGTCCCCCTGTGACCACAGGCTGCCTTCCGGGTTCCCCGGTTTGTGTTTCCCGTGTCAGTCACGGATTCCACACTGCCTCTGTGATGCTGAGTCTGGGGCTGCTGTGCTATTTTCCTTACAGCGGTAAATTTTTGAAAATTGTGAGTTACAAAATTTTAACATTCTAGGACACTATGAAAAGTGGAAAGGGCAAGGTAGGTCGAGGCGGGCCTCACTCTGTGTGGGCAGGCAGCTTCACGCCACCTGCCTAGCTCCGTGGGTGTGTGAGTCTGTAGCACCCTGCTCCACTGAGTAGCACCATGTATAGCTTGAATAAAGGTCCTTTGGGGTTTGGGGTGAAGGTGCTAAGTTCACCATCCTTCCTTTGCAAAGATGATGCCATGTCACGGTAAGATACCTGCTCTACTCATCTCAGGGTGAGGAGGCTGCTACTTATCCAAAAACTTCGTATCCACAGTCATAAATCTGCCTTCCGCCCAGCCCAACTATGGTGTGCTCATACAATGCACAGGTACAAAATTCCACAAGCAACTGGGTAGGAAACAGACTGTCTTGAGGGAGAGAGTCTGATCCAGCATTTTTTACATGGTAGAAAATTCAAATAGTACACAGATATAAAGAAAAGTGTACCTATCCATCTCTGAGCCCGAATCCAGCTTTTCTTTCCATAGGCACCATCACCTGCTTCTTGTGCTCACCTGCACACAGGTTCCATGCATATAAAGGCTTATGTATATGTATATGTCTACATATTATTTCCTCTTTTAAAAATAAATGGGAGTAGTCTATAAATGCTGTTCTGCAATTTCCTCTTTTTACTTTCATTTCTTCATAATATGGGATAATGATAATTCTCGATCAGACTATGAAGTTTTTTCTTATTTTACATTTATAGCTGCATCGTATTTCATATATAAAATATGCATATGTAGAGATACAAATTACCTATGTGTATATACTTGTATATAAAACCTATTTGCTGTAGCTTAGTTTATAGTCATTATATTCACATTGTTGCATTCATGGACAAGTACATTTTCCAGGTAAATGTCCAGTAGTTAGATGGAATTGGTAAGTCTAAGAGCAAGAGAATCTTAAATTTTCATGGATGTTGCTGTTATGGTTTGTGTCTGGATGTCCCCCCAAACTCGTATGCAGTCATGGGACGGGCTTCTAGAGTTTGTGATTGATTCATGGTCCAGTGTTGGAATTATGGATGTGAGTGCTACACCTGCCCTGGGGCAGACAGTTTGCATACAATGTCAGGGAGGGAAAGAGGCTGCTTGTCTCCGCTCCTCCCTTGTGCTCTTGTTGCTTTGGCAGTCTTCTGCTGCCATGAATGTTTGCCATCTGCCATGTGTCACTCTGCCTTGGAGCCAGCCAAGTATGGACTGAAACCTCCACACACTGTAAGCTAAATAAACCTTTCCTTCCTTAATGTTGGGCTTGGGCATTTTGTCTCAGCAATGAGAGAAAAGTAACCAAGACAGTTGCTAAGTGGTGTTTCAATTAGTGCCCACTCCTCCATACTCTGTATTAAATCATTGGTTATCTTTGTCTGTCTCTTAAGTATAAAACAGTATCTTGCTGCTGCTTAGCTTTTTTTTCCTTTTGCAGTACTGGAGATTGAGCCCAGGGAGTGCTGAGGTTCAGCTTCAGGCTTTCTTTCTTTTTTTTTTTTTTTCTGTTTTGAAATAGGGTATCACTAAGTTGCCCAGGCTGGCCTCGAACTTACGATACTTTTGCATCAGCATTTAAGTGGTTAGGATAACAGGCATGTGCCACCATACCTAGCTGTTTAAATTTCATTTCCTTACGGAGCATTTTCTAGTTCTGGGGGTAATTTTGTAACTGCGGTTTCTCTTCTCCTCCACCAATCACTGCCATAAAATGCGAGATGGATTTTGAGACAGACATGGGCTGGAGTGTTTCGCTGGCTTGCTCAGTGACCTGGGACATTTCCCCTGCAAGCCCAGCTTGGATGTCTCCTTCCTTATGAAATGCAGGGTAGTTGAGAAATTAAAGGAAGAGAAAAGCATGAACAGAAACAGCTCTGAACAAGGCACTTGAAAACACACACATCCTTTTCATTCTTATGGCAAATCCATGACACAAACAATGTTATTTTCCTTGTTTTAAAGACATAGAATGTGAGGCTCAGAAAGCCAGTTCACTGGACTGGGTTCTTGCAGCTGGCAGACAGATGTGAAGTCAAGGGTCCTAATCCTGATGCCTCTGAGCAGCGGGTGTGAAAGGGTGCAAGACTTCGGTAACAGTAATGATGACAGCCACAGGCACCTTCTTCTTTTGCTCTGTGTCCTGGGAATGGTCAACGATGCACCGGGTGCAGTGTTTCCCTGTGCGTCTGGAGCAAATCTGAATTCCTGTGATGCCATCCAAGGCCCTACGGGGGCACTGCCCAACTTTCCAAGACTGTCTTCTCTGCACTCCCCTGATCTCCCTTCACTCAAGCCATGTGCTCAGCCTCTCATTAATTTTAGTGGCTGGAAAGAAAGCCAGTTTGGAATATCACTGTATATTCAGCCAATCTCCTGACGATAAGCTCTGGGTTGATACTACAGTTCAAAACAGGATGACGTACCTCCTCCAGACATATTAGAGAATCTCAGTTGGGTATGAGCAACATAATTCCTGCATCAAGGGTATGTTCATTTCTCAAATACAGACAAACTGCAAGAATATCTTTGGACTCAGGGCCTTTGCACATACCATCCCCTCTGCCTGGAATGCACATTCCCTCTTCATTATCAGGCTAATGCTTTTGTACTGTTTCTCAGCCTAAAGTTGCCCCAGAAAGACCTGCTGCCTCCACGGCACTCAACTCTTTTCCTTCGTGCCACTTGTCACAGCCTGTTTGTCTGACACTGGTTTCCTTCTCAGGCTGAGAGCTGCAGGAGGGCAGGGGCTGCATCTGTTTGGTCCTCTGCAACATTCCTACACATAGTTCACTGGCAGGTTGTAGGTGCCCCCCAAATATCTGATGAATAAATAAATATGAAAGACAATAAATAAAGTTTTTCACCTCTCCTTTTGTTTTTGGAAGAGGTTGGACCATAAAATTCTAGCCTAGGAGAAAGGGAATAGAAGATGATTGGGAAAGGGGGACATGAAGGACTTTGCCTATAAGTCAGTGTGGCCAGACTGTGCTCCACGGACCTGTAACAAGTTTATGATGGGGAAGGACGACACTGAGACAAAAGTATTTGGAAAGTCTTGTAGCAACCTGATGGAGCTGTAATGTCTATGGCCATCTCTGGACCTATATTTTGTACGCATTTGAAATTCATTTTATTTTGTTTCACTAAAGTATCAGCCCATGATGGAATGAAAATTAAAAAGCAAAAACCAACAGCCTGTCTTTCATAGCAGATGAGAATCACTGGTCCTAGTGATTGAGTTCAAAGGCAACCTAACAGCTTGATGTGTGGGACCACACTGGTCACAGAAGACCTCCAACTCCCCCAGAATTTCTGATGAACCTCTTCACAAAATGACAACCGGGTGCTGTGGTTTGTGTCTGGATGTTCCCCCAAAGCCTCATATGGTCATTGGGGGCCAGGGTTTTTGGGGTGGCTGAATCTAGAGTTTGTGACTGATTCATGCTCTAATGCTGGGTTTTAGGATGCGAGTGTATACCCACCCTAGGGCGGGTAGCCTGCATACAATATGAGAGACAGAAAGCAGCTTGTGCTCCCCATCTCTCTTGTTGCTTTTGGTGTCTTCTGCTGCCACAAATGGTTGCCCCTCTGCCATTCCACCCTGCCTTAGAGCCAGCGTGAGCTAAATAAACCTTCCCCCTTTAACCTTGGGTGTTGGGTATTTTGTCTCAGCAATGAGAAAAGTAACTAAGGATGGGGCTTCCATCAGATGCTCGGTGCCTCTGGCTTTGGCTCATGGGATCACTGAAGTGACAGTTTGCATCTATTTTAGCCAATAGCAGTGACCCATCAGACATTAATCAATTAATTAATTAATTCATGTCCTACCAACAACAGGCCAAAGACCCAGATTCTTGGCAGTGGAGACATGGCACTGCTTGGAGCTCACATTCTGATAGGAGGAGACGGACCACAGAAAATAAATGAATGATGTGGAACAGTCTCCCCTCCTCCCTCTGCTGCACCTGCCTGCTTGGCTTTTCTGTGTCCCAGGACTAGACATTGCAGGTACTTTTGAAAGAAAACAACTCCACCTAAAATCTGTTTGCTGGCCTGAAGCAATAATGACCAAGACATATGCAATTAAAACAAATGCATAACATAAAATTCCTTTAAAGTCAATTTGTGTACACACCCCCAGCAATCCAGAGACCACTGTACAGGTAACAGCCACAAATGATCCGTCCGCCCCGCCTCCAGTTCTCCCCTCCCACAGCATCACCAAGCTCTTTGCTTCTTACAGTCTCACTCTCTTTCTGTGTCTTCACAGGTGCTGGTAATTTCATGCAATCAAGCTACAGGCAAACAGAGGGAAGAAGGAGGAAGGCCTGCGCCCCACCCCTTGGAACTATCTGGAAGCAAAATCCTGCCTTTGCGTAGCTTTTCTGAACAGCAGGCAGGTGTGAAAGGATTCTAAGGTAGATGGGGAAAGTCCAGGTGTGTCTGGAGTACTGATTTCTGGTCCATGGATTTCTACCTCCAGCATTAGATGCTAATAGCTCAGAGTTCTGTTCGGGCAGATCTCCACTTCAC